ACAAAAGTTGAGAAGGGATGGTTTGATGGCGAAAGAAGAAGAGGAAGAAGATGATAAAACAAGAGTAATGAATTAAAAGAAGAATGAGAATGAAAAGGATAAAGAGACTGATCAATGAGAATCAATCTGTTTTACCTCTTTTCTGTTCTTCTCTCGTTCATTTTCTCATTTCCTCAATTCATCAATTATTTGATAAATAATCATTGAATTAGGCTCTAAAAAAATATCACTTGACCTCAAAACTGCATCCAATGTAAAGTTGAAACGATTGACTTGTCTGAGGTTCATCATTTCCCCATAACTCCAGCTCTTCAAGTTGGCCTCATCGGCTATAATTGGATATGACTTACAATCGTTAGTTGAATCAAAGTTGAATCTCGTGTTCACCCTCGAGCAGTCGGGTCACCAATCAGCCGTGTTTTCGCAATAAAACTTTGCACAACTAAACGAACAGAATTGAGGTGCGAGAAAAAGTTCATTATGATCGAGTTAACCTTTGGACAAAAAAGTGGAAAATATTTTCGTTGTTTCTACATTAGTGAGTAAAAATGATGATGATTATGATGATGATACAAATGACAATCAGGATGCGTTAGAAGCTAATAATAATGAGCTAGACGAGGGAATAATGTGTTGTTAATAGTAAAATTGGATTGGAAAAGAAAGTTGTATGATAAGAAGAAGAAAATGTTAGGTACAAGATAATGATAATAATAGAGCAATCAGGGAGGTGAGAAGAAAATATTTGCAGAAAGTGAGAGAGAGACAGTGAGAGAAGAAAAAGGAAAGGAATGATTAAAATGATTCTTTAATAATGTGAGAGAATAACTCGATTCTTACAAGTAAATAAGAAAGTTTATTTTCTTTTTGCCATTACTAACAAAATTATCAAATTGCTCATTATATGCACCATATTCTCATTAAAGATAATGATATTTTCGTTTTGCTTCTTGTCACTTCATATTAACTCCTTTTCTTTTCGACTTTCGTCTTACTTTCATCATCATCTGGTGTCAATTGGAATATTCATTTTCCAACTCAATGGTTCAACTGTACAGCTTGTTTCTCTTCATGAATATATTTGCTTTTTATCAATATCATATTCTCAGTCAATCCCTGCAACACACTTTTCGCCCCTTGCTTCGTCTTCTTCGAAATTTTCCATTTTTTCTTCGTTCAACTTCTTTCCAATTGCTTTATTGTTTTTGGAATAATGATTCAGATGAACAAATAATCATGATTGTAAAACATTAAAAGCCCATTTCTTTAAATGATTTGCAAATAAGCGATTCGTTTTTTTAACGATAATGTTGCAAGTAATAAAGACAAATGTTGATGATCAAATTATGTTCAATTGGAAAATAGAAAATGAAATTTTCTTTTAACACAGAAAACAATAAAAAACAACAAACAGCTAATTGGTTCAATTAGTACAGTTTCTCGAATTTGCAGCAATTTCGTTTCCAACATTTCGAACAATTTCCATTCAAATTGAGAGTGATTTATTTTTCTCTGATAAACTTTCCAAATTTAACCAAAGTTTCTGCATAAAAGCAATCAACTAATAACCTCTGAAACTATCGAAGCAAAGGAAAAATCAATCGACTTGAAAATTGTTTGAAAATGGCACGAAAAAAAATGTAAATCGTTTTGAGCGAAAAATCTTTTAGAGAAGAAAAGTTGTCCGAAGAAGAAAAATGTAAATGGACAAGGAACTCAAGTCGAGATGAAAATTTATATTCCTGGTGATGGAGATTGAGTAAAATTCATGGCAGTTTGAAAATTATTTCAAATGAAAATTTGAAAATGCATTTAAGAGCTGAAACCCAAAAGTGCATCAACAAAAGTAAATCATCATATTTTTACTGTCGACTGAAAATAATGTGAAATAACTTTTCATTTCTATCTCTTGTTATTTCAATTTCTTTCAACATTATCAGTATTATAATAATTTAATTCCATTGCTGATGTATTAAGATGGAAAAGAGAAGAAGAAGCGAAAAAAAGAGAAAAAGAAAAACGAAAAATAACTTTTTATCTATTTGTCGTGAATTTTGTTTTGCCTTACTCTGCTCCAGCCTAAACCAATTGCCTTTACTGACACGAAAAAATGTTGACAACTTGAAATGTAATAACTCATCTGTGAGACCAGAATAATATTCACAAGGGACTTTACATGGAAGAGACGAAATGATGAAAAAAGATGAAATAAAATGTTCAACATTTAAAGTTAAATATCCATTTGCTTTTAAGAATATGTCATCATTATCATCATCAGAACTCATCAACAGATAACATTTTGATTGAAGTGAACAACAGTAAAAAGTATTTCATGCTTTCCACCAAATCGCTATTTATTCATGAGCAACGTCAAGTATTGTCGCCATGAATTACCAGAGAATTTCAGATTTTTTCTCTTTTCTCTTTTTCTCAATTAAATCTGGCTAATGGCGAGTTTGCTCAAAGAGAAATATTAAAATTCATTGAATTGATAAAGACTCAGCAAATTGTTTTTTCCTCAAACAGAGAACACAATTTTTTTCGGTAAAAATTGTCTTTCGCTTTAAGTTATTCTCAACTTGAAGATGAACCTTTTCAGAGTAAAGTTTAAATGGAATAAAGTTTACCAGAAATAAACTGATAATTTAAACTATTTAAAACTTGTAATATATTCACATCTTTTTTGGTTACCACAAAATGAACTTTTTTTTACTGAACTTTTTTTTCTCTTCATTTCATGCATTCATCAACTATTAAATACTTTTTTCCCTCAACTTCTCCTTTTACAGGAAGAAGATGAAGAGAAAAAAACTAAATCTTTTCTTATTATTATAAGATGGTTAAAGATATGCAGAACAAGAAGAGATGCAAGAGAATTAAAATGATGCAGACTTGTGATGATGTTGATGAAAGGAGAGAGAGAGAAAGAGATGAGAATGTAAATCTTCTTTAAAGATTTACTTCATTGGTAGACAAAAAATGATGAGAAGAGGAAAAAAAAGTTATTTTGCATTTTTCCTTCTCTCATATACTTATAATCACATCTGAATCGCATTGGATAACATGAGCTTCTCAACTTGCTTTTCATTTCTCCATTTCTTTCAAACTTTTCTTTTTACAGTTTTCTGGTTCATCCGTGAAACAAAAAAAAGAAAAGTTTTTTGCATTGCAAATGATTCTGTTGAAGCGTCATGGGGTTTGTCAGTTTTTTTTCATCATGTTTAGCTAAAGAAAAATGAAATGAAATAAAATAATCCAGTTTAAGAGTAAATAAACAGCATTTGTATCTAATTTTGGCCAACAGAGGAAAATGGGGAAATTTTGGGTTTGAAATCACGCACTTGACAGGCAACTGTTTTAACTTGAATGCAACACTTGAAGTTGACAATTAAAATCAATCAGAATTGAAATGAAAGAGAGAAAGAAATTTTCGTGTTTAATACATAATTCATGTTTAGTTTGATTACTTTTTTATACGCTGTTGAACACAATTTGATAAGCAAGCTTGATGCTGCAACGATATTGTCTTTAGGTAATCATGAAACGAGAGACTGGAAAAGTAAACGACTTTGAAAATACAAGTTCAGAGACAAGAATGTTGAAAACTCGATAAAAATCTATTACGTTGTTGGAAAAAAAGTCAATAGTCTTGAGTTGATTTTTTTACTCGTAAGAAGTGACTTAATGGCAAGAATGATTGTCTTGATGATCATCAATTTTCATCATCATAAATGATTAAGAGCTTCAAGGGAATCGTGAAAAGAAATCTGACTGCCAAGAGTATAGTTTCAGGTGAAAGACAATGATAAGGAAAAAAGGTTTAATTATGTTGATTAAATGATTTTCAGATTGAATATTGTTAATGTAACATGAAATATTTTTACATTAATGCAGTGACGAAAAAAGTGAAATGAAGAGAAAAGAAGAAGAAAAAAACAGAATTCGATAAAGAAGCTTGGATAACAGGGAATGATAACTGGGAGGGAAAACCACTCCAAGGTAACTATTGTAATTTAATTATCTGTTGAGAATTGTAATAAACATATGATTGAAATGCGATAAGGAATTGTAAAGAGTGGAAAAAATGGAGAAAAAATAAGATTGACTTTGTCAATACGAATGTTATTTGTATATTTTTTTGCCATCAAATATGTTCCAAGAGAACTCTTTTTTTCTCTCTTTTTTTGGCTTCCTTCATGAGGCTCATTTCTGCAATCATCAGAATAGCAAAAAGATTGGAAATAAGTGAAACTGTGATGAACAGTGAAAATCTAAACATAAATATTGTATTGCTTTGTGTCATTAATCTTTCAATATTCTGTTGCCTCTAAGTTAGTTTTATGTTTCATCTTTTGCTTCTTCTTCTTTTCTCTTCATTTCTTCCTTCTTTTTACCGTTATTCCTCTTTAATCAACAATCATTTCAGTGGAAAAAGAAGGAAAAAAAACTATTCTTTACTATCTTATTGATTATGATATAAAGTTTTGGCGTCAATTTTCTAGTTCTACTCTTTACCTCGACTCTTTATTTGGATTGTTTATTAAGTGTTTCAGTAAGTAGAAGAGCGGAAAGTAAAATTTTTTTGGGAAACTTTTTTTTTCTCTTCAAACATTTTCTCTATTTTATTAGATTTACAAGTTGTGAGATTATCTCGACAAGTTTCTCATCCAATGAACTTTACAACTTTTGAAATGAATCTTTTACTCTTTTTTCATGTTCAAATTAAATAAACCTTTAAGTCGACGGAAAATCTCTTGAAATTGAATTGGTTATTAATTTGGTGATGTGAGTAATTGAAACTGTAAACTGAAATTGAACAGAAAGAAAGAAGTAATTTTACGACGAAGTTTTTTTGCAGCAAAACTCATAAAGTGTTGAATTTAATAAAGCCTTTTCCTTAGTTGAATGGGTTAATAATGATCATTGCAAGATTAAACTTTTTTGTGGATACAAAATTGTCCAAACTAAAACGACTTTTGACTTTTTTGTTCCGATTGCAGGTGATCCTTCGCCGAGCATTCGTTGGTGGAAAGGTGGGGACATGATTGACGACACTTATCAAGTTATAAATAATCAAACTGTTGTAAATGAATATATTCTGGAAAATATTGATCGAAATAATTTACTCACCGTTTTAACGTGCCTCGTTTCAAATACCGATTTGATTCCGCCAAAAGAAATCTCAGTTTCTATTGATATGATTCGTAAGTTGACCAAGTATCTTAAAGAATCAAAACTCAAAAACATTTCGATTATAAGCTTGAAATCCGCAAATTTTCCATTCCATTCTGAGAGTTGCCATCAGAATCGAAAAATGTTTCCTTCAAATATTCTCAAAAAATCATTCAGAAAGTTTCAGAAATGCCCTCAGTTTTATATTCATCAATCGAACGAATTTTCGCTAAAATTTTGTTCAAATATTTCGAAGCAAAAAAGGGAAAAGCATTCAAATTTTTAGCTTGAAATTCGAAGTTTTAGATTTCCTTCTGCTTCGAAAAGTTATTTGTCAAGAATTCTCAAAATAATAATCCAGAAAGTTTCTGAAATGCGAAATCGAATGATTTTTTTCTCCAAATTCCCCTCGAATCGATGAAAATTTAAGTACTTTTTGTTTTTTCTGTTTTCTGTAGTTGAGCCTCTCGGTGTCGAACTGTTGTTACCAAGTGATTATCTGCCTGCCAACAAGAAAAGTGACTTAATCTGCTTATCATATGGCTCACGGCCACCTGTTCAAGTGACCTGGTTGAAAGATGATAAGCCATTGAATGCAACATCTACAGAGACTGTTTCAGATGATGGCAATTCAACCGTCAGTCGATATCAATTTATTCCGTCCATTGAAGATAATGGCAAATCTATATCTTGCTCAGTCATAAATTTAAAACTATCAACATCAACGAGTTTACAGGATCAAAATATACTCAATATTCACTGTAAGTTTTTTTGATACTTTGGGAAAAGTCAAATGAAATAGATAATAAAAATTTCATGGCAATAATTTATCGAGAGAAAAAGAAGCATGAAAAAGTAATACAGAAAATAAATTTTGCATTTCACTAATTTTTCCTTCTCTCTTCTCTTTTCATGGAAAAGTTGATTTATATAAATGGTGTTAAAAATAGTTGCTTTTTTACTCTTTTTTCACTTTCATGTTGATAAAATGTTTCACTTTCGTTTATTCATTACTTTCATAAATAATGTAATTTATTGATGAACACACATTTTGTTATACTTTTATCTTAAATATTAACCAAAGATTTAAAGAAGCAAAAAAGTGAATCTTAATAACAGTTCATCACGAGAATATAATTCAAGCTTAACAGGCTGACTTAGTTGATAAGCTTTTAATTTGAGTCTTAAAGTCAAGATCGACAAAAAAACTCAGTCTAACACCAAAAGAATGCACAAGACAAATTCGCGCGAAAATTCAGTCCAAGTTACTAATCACTCGAAAAAATGTTTTCTCGTTCTTGTTCCGATGATTGACCTCTTTCTCTCGTTACCTTCAGTTGTACCTCAAGTATCAATCGTGTTGGGTGCAAGCCTTCAACTGGACAGTATTCGTGAAAACACTGACGTTTACTTCGAGTGTAACATACGTGCCAACCCATGGGTCAACGAAGTGACTTGGCTTTTCCAAGATACTCCTCTTTACACGGATCCATTGGCAGGAATAATTGTTGCCAACCAATCGTTGGTTCTGCAACGAGTGAAACGCCAGCAAAGAGGATATTATCAGTGTTCAGCCTTCAACAGCCAAGGAACAGGATTTAGTGAAAAAGTTTATCTTAAAATTAACTGTAAGTAAAAGTTGAATCTAATCAGAATATGGCAAAATCTTTCATTCAATCAAATTAACTGCAAGTTCTGCCAAAGAAAACTGATAAATCTCAATTTTGCTGAACAAATAATTATCAAATTGAACAGCAACTTTAATCGAAACTTTTCAATTAGATTACCAACTTATGGAATGAAAATTTATTGGTAAAAAAAGTGAGCCAAAGAATATCTGCAAAAACAGAGTCGACCATTCCATGTAAAGAAAACTCGAATTTTTCAGAACAGTCAATATTTTTCGTTATCTATAACTTTCATTGTTATTTTCCTCTCAATAATAGATAAGGTTAAATCAACAAAAAAAACTAGACTTTCAAGATTATCCAAGCTCTAATAATTTTGTGGTTGCAAGTGGTTGAAAGAAAGCGCAAGAACATTGAAAAGATGAAAAAATTGCAACAAATATAAGGTAAGAAGGAAGTGATTATTGTTTACAAAAGTTCTCAACGTTAAGATGAATATAAAAGTAGAGACAAGAGCACAAGCCTGAAAACCTCAAGACTATAAAGTTGAGCTTCGATTAGAGATTGTCTCTTTTTCTGGATAACACAAAAAAGCATAAGAACCATTTCGACTTGGCATGAGAGGAAAAACAAGAGATCCTTTTATTCCCTTCAAGCTAAAAAAATTAGCTTTCGCCATCAACTTCATTTTTTTGTTTTACTTTTATTCTTGCGATAACATAACCTCCAAGTCAAGTGTATAAACTCCCAGATGCTTGTACAAGTTTATCAAATGGGAATTATCAGAATTGCAAGGTTTTGTACAAAAGGGAGAGAAAAGGAGAAGAGAAAAGATTATCAGAAAAAATAGGAGAAAAAAAGTGTTCAAAGCTTCAAAAAGCCAACAAATTGCCAGCAATTATGATCACTTATCCAACTCATTGATTAGCCATTATTTGCCAATTTCATTTCTTCATTTCTTCATCTTTCCCTGTTTACCATTGCTGAAGCTTTTTTCACACTCTGCGGATCAATTGTGTTTTTTTGTGTTCATTTCATTTAATCAACTGTACATTTCATCAACAATTAGTGGTTGAACAACTTGACCTGACCAAAACTCTTTATCTTCTTCTCCATCATCTCTTTCCATGCTCGCTGACTTGGGTCAAGTTTTCAAGCTTCCCATTGTTTTACCTCAATTTTCTTTACCAACGAAATTGACCCTTTCCTCTCAACAATCAACCGTCGAGTCACAAACAATTAGCTTGATTTCTTTTCGTTTTATCCTCAAATTCTGACAGACTTTTTTTCTTTTCTTTTTTCTTCTGCTTCTTCTTTTCTTCATTCTTTTGGTAACCCAAGCCTCTTTTTTGTATTACCTCAATCCTCAATTGTTATCATTCTCATCATCATCAACTTCACTCTCGTCTTATTTTTTGCTTCTTGGTTCTTGCTTCTTCTTGTTTCAATTATCTAGCTCATCATTCCCATCAATATCAACTTTTCATCTTTATATTTTCATCCTCATCTTTCCTTACTTGATTAATTCAACAGTCACATTGACTGAAAAGGAGCAGAAAATTATCGACTCAAATTAACTTGAGAACAATAAATTACTATCCAAATTGATATCCACAAATTAAAACGTCCAACTAGAGTTACATGCATAATGAGGTGAAGCTTTGAAGCAAGTCAACTTGGCCGAGCAACTCTTAGGTTGACTTTGACTTGGTTAGAGAGAGAGTCGAGTGTAAAATGAAATGTAAAATTTGTTCATCCAAAACTGACAAGAATAAATTGGACCTTTTTGCAAAGTTGAAACATTCATCTGACAAGAGTTGAACGTTTACCTCTTTCTTGTTGAATGTGAATAATGAAAATGGGAAAACCCAAAGGTAACAAGTGAAAATGGTTCAAGAAAGAAACAAAAGTAAATTCCATAAGATTTAAATTCCCATGCGCATCGCCTTTTTTTATCCATTGTTATAATACTAATGTCATTAATAAGTTGATATAATAAATGTCAACAGATATTATATAACATTGACTTTACTGGCAAAAGTTTTTTTTCTCTGCTCAACACCATCAACACAATGTTCACTGTTCGCCTTTCGTTTCTTCCTTTTCCAGTTTTCCATCATTTGTTTCATTTGGCAGAAGAAGAGAAAAATAAATAAATAAATTGGTAATATTATACTCACTGAGGTTATCTAAATGAACATATCTTATATCTAAATTCTGTTAAGATGAATGTCATTCCAGCTCATTCTATTGACGCTAATGGATCAATGTGAGGATAAAAAATAGTGAAATAGGAAACACAATCAGACGGAAACGAATAATTTTCCCAAAAAACAACATCAACTCGTTGTCGATTGATGCTCTTGTAATTATTCATAATGAAAAATTATATTCTTTTCAAACTTTCTTCGACTTTTCCAAATTCAAATTTTTCATCGAAGTATTCAATTTTCACTCATTTACTCAACTTCAAACCTTAAGTCGCTTTTCAAAATCACTATTCAAGAAGACACAAAACTCTTGATTGACTTTTGTGATCGATTGAAGCGGATGTCGGAAGGATTTTTGTTCGAAAACTTTTCTATTTCGTTTCATTCGAAAGATAAGTATCGAAGAATGTGAATTGCTTTTCAAAAATCACTATTCAAGAAGACACAAAACTCTTGATTGACTTTTGTGATCGATTGAAGCGGATGTCGGAATTTTCTGTGCGCAAAAATGTTCTAAGATGTTCGAAGTTTTGATTTTCTTTTCTTTCTTTTTCATTCAATTTCATGTGTCTCTACACTTTTGTTCAGAGGTTGAATAGAAGAGGATAAAAGTGGAAACAAATGCTGAATGAATGACCACAAAAATGAATAGTTAAACAATTTTCCGTATTGATAGATGAACAAGCAAAGAGATTATCATTGAACAATCAATAAAATGAAAAAAAGTCTTAACATTGAATGAACTTTTCCATTTTATTTACAAAATTTTCTTCCGTTATTCAGTCATTGAACAGTAAAATATTGTAAAGCAAACAAAACAAACAATTGAGTAAATGGTGAGTCGAAATGATCGAGTTATTGATGTTTCTTTCTTTTCCCTCTTTTACTGGACCAATATTATTACGATTATCATTCTGTTGCTCAGGTTTACCATTTGCTTATCTTTTCTTACCTCAACTTATCGAGTTCACTCTTTTTCCCTCTTCTTCTTCTTTCTCTATTCTTCCCTGTCAATATTATTATTTGATTTGCCTTCACTTTTTGCCTCTTCCTGGTCAATCAATTACCGGACACAAGCAGCACAATGTGGTCTTACAAGTATCAACATTATATGGTTACCTTTGATTCTGCCAAGATAATGTCTGACAAATGATCCTCTTCCAAATACAAATAAAAATCAGAAAAAAAGAGCCAAAAAATAGCAATGAAATAGGAGCCAGGAAAGAAAAAAGAAGAACCTCAAAAATTCCAATTGAATACCTTTTCTAATAGTACCTCAACCTTCAGAGTTTTCATTATTTAACCAGACTTTTCTTTCCTTCCTTTCTGTCAATCTCAATTTTTTCTTTACCCTTTGCAACCTTTTCTCGTTCAATTCTGTAACCTTATTAACGCAAATTAATCTTCAAACTAATCACATATTTTCATTGCTGCTTTTGCACCTTTTCAATCCCATTACACTTTCATTGATTGTTCAACTTTTCAGAGTTTAAATTGCATTTTAAAGTTGCTTTCAAATGCTCGAGTATTCAATCGGTTAAGGGCAAACATTTTGTTGTTGATTTGGGTGATTAAATGATAAATGAAATGAAAATTGAAAACATTTTACTTTCAATTCAAATTGAATCAAGTTACATTAAGATTTGCCACTCAAATTTAATACTTCTATTAGCGAATTAAATTGTTTTGTTAACTTTTATTCCAATTGTTTGCACAAGAAAATATTCCAAACCTTCAACAGGAATCCAAAAAACCCTTTAAACCGATCTACTTTTAATTTTATTCATTTAACTATCGATCAGATATGACTTCAGTAAAACGGATTGCTAATAAAACTTCTGATCGAAAACATTACTTAACTTATAAAGATCTTATTTTCGGTTAGAGCTAATTTAAAGTGATGTTCATCACAAGTTAACATCAAGCCGATGCAAAACTACTTGTAACATCAGGTTCCATATCGTGTGATAGAAGACATTAGAGTGACTATGGAGTGAACTTGAGATTCTACTTCAGTTTTGAGCTCTTGAGACAAAACGAATAGCATCATTGGAAGTAAGACTTGAGCATGGATACAATTCGCTGAATGTTGCAAGAGATCGTTCTAAGGTCGTTGAGGTTTCAATGTTATTTCTGCAAGTTGTGATCGAAAACCTTTGTCGTTGGAGTTTCTTTAAATCGTGTAATGGATACGATTCAATGTTGTTTACCTTTGATATTGCAGCTGGAAGAAGCTGAATGTTTCAAATGTTTCAAAATGTAGCATGAAATAGTTATTTGCAGTTGCTTTGCTTTCGATATATTTTTAGATATTCACTCATTGAAAACCAATAGTTTAATAAAATGCATTTCTGTTGACTTTTTGTTCAAACTGATTCCCTTTTTTCGACTTTTGTCCTCAAAAATAGACATAACAAAAATATGTCAATGTTAAATCAAGCATTGACCTGCAAGTTATGCTGTTAAGAGTAAGCAAAGGGCCCAAAGGATTTTCTTTGCCTTCCATCTCTGCCTTTGGTTTAACTGGAAAGCAAAGGCTTATTTCCAGTCTAGTGAATCAAAAATCTCATTTCAATCGTCTGGAAACAGATGAAATGGAGGAAAACATCTTCACCGGATCAAAACTGAATCTTTGCTTCTTTCATCATCTTCATTATATTAATGCTGCTTCGTTTTTTGACACACTCTACATTCAGTTTGTTTAGTCGTTTCTTTTTCTTCTGTGATTATGTATAAATTGTAGCAAATGACCACTTAAATGACCATTGATTTGGTATAATAATAAAGCAT